CTACACATGAGGAACAGCACGAGAAGCCCTGACCCCTGCCCATTTTTTTTAATTTGACTTGGGGGAGGTGGGGGGAGGAAATCAGTTTCTAATCTCCTCGTGTCTTTTTGTTAGAGCTCTGACCTTTCTCCTTTGAAACATCTGGCCTGGTCTTCTAGTGACTGATGGTTTTCCTCTGACTAAGCAGCTGTTCCAACCAACTCAGCAAGCGAGATGTGGCCAAGTTAGGATCCTACACTGCACGGAAAGGGAAGTTTAAGTTCCTATTGCTCCGAGGCTGGAAAAGAGCCCAAAAGACAGCGGCTATGGAGCACAGGTCAGACCGAAGCAGGCTATGGGGGGACACTGTGCCAGGCCAACCAACTCAGCAAGCGAGATGTGGCCGAGTTAGGATCCTACACTGCACGGAAAGGAAAGTTTAAGTTCCTATTGCTCCGAGGCTGGAAAAGAGCCCAAAAGACAGCGGCTATGGAGCACAGGTCAGACCGAAGCAGGCTACGGGGGGACACTGTGCCAGCACTTTCCCAATGAAATACAAACTGCCAAAAGAAAACTCAAAACAAGCCAGCTCCTTCCAGTTACGGCACATTCCTTCCAAACACAGCTCAGCTCAGGGGTGCCTGGCCATAAGCAACTTGCCTCACACTGTTAGGTATGTTAGCTACAAACTGTAATTAGGCTCCGGAGCAAACAAAGGCACTACCTTGGGTCACTTCAACAAAGCATCAACTCTGCAGCCTAAGCGTGACTGGCAGAAAACATAGCTGTGTTCCAAAACAAAATGCAACTGCTTCTGGTCACGTCTTTCCTCCCCGACTCATTGAAAAGGGCAGTCAAACTGCTCCTTTCAGTTGACTGCAAACATAAATATTCCCCTTGCCCACGAACAGGCAACACCAAGTGCTTCACCGATCCTGTCCCTAGGTTACTTGAGCTGGTACGACAAGCCTGGGCATGGGGGAAACAAAGGGATTTCCTACAGCAAGGAACTGCACATTTGTTGAGAACTGACTGTTCCCTAATCTGTGACACTGCCTTAGCTGATGTGGAATAATATGTGAGCTCTGCTTCATGCATGTTCTTCAGATAATTCCAGTTGCACGCTGTCACTGTCCCTTGTGCATCTGGGTTTCATACGCTTCTTGACTGTGACGGATTTACAGCCAGCCCCCAGCCCTCAGTCACGGGTCCTCCCGCTCGTCAGGCTCGGCAAGACCCCCGCGACAGAGCGGCACCCGGGAAGGGACAGCTTTACCTCGCACGGCGTTTTTTCACCCGGCGCTCGTGGTCAGCCTCTTCGTAGTAGAGCTCGTTGTGACTGGAGTCCCTGCGACGGGCCGCGGCTGCAATCATGGCGCGGGACTGCCCCGAAGCATTGTTACCTGGGCCTTTGGGAGGAGAGGAGGAGTGAAAAGGAGACAAGAAACATGGTGTTACTGCCACAGGACTGGGGCTGGGACAGACCAGCACCCCACAGCATCCGTCACAAGTGCTCTGTGGCTCCAGCCTTCCCAGCCAAGGCCGTAAACCCTTCCCTGGTCCTCAGGAGCTCCGACAGAAACCCCGCTAGACAGCACAGGCTTGCAGAGGGGGCTTTGGCTTGCGGTTGAGGGAAGTTAGTCGGGATGAAGGATCTCACACAACATACACAAAGGCAGAATGAGGTGCACATGCCAAGGATGCAACTTACCGCCCATTATATATGTTTTCAGTTTGAAGGCAAAGGCAGCTGGAACACACCACGTTTCAGCAACAAGACAGTGTGAGAGCACAAGAAGTGAGGAGTTGGAAAGAGGAGAAAGACAAACACAAGAACATCATGAGACATGGAGATGAATGAACGAAAGCCAAACTCCAGACAGTTACACGCAGGGAGGAAACGCAGGATGCAGAGGCAGCAGCGTCACCTCTAGACAAAGCACAGGTTTTTCCAGAAGGACAGATGCCATCAGAGCAGCAGTCCTGCAAGAGGGCAGACTGGGGTCTATATGCGTAGTAGCTCCTCAAGGCTCTCAGAGCAGCACCTGTCATTAGTGCTTCTGTGGCTGTTAACAGATCCTACACAGCTACAGGAACAGGGAAGCTGCAATCTGCTCTGTAACACCCGGTTGAGCGACAGAGCTGTCTTCTACAGGACCTTAAGATGCAGTAGTCGGTTCTGCGGCTCCCCCACGAAGCTCACAGCTCTGGCTGTTTGGGCAAAGAGGGGAAAAAATATTGCTCCTGAAGAGTCTACTAACTCTTCTATCCAGACAGAGGACAGAGGGGGGTCTACCCAGAGGGAAAAAGGAAGAGTCTAGGACTGTGTCCAAACCACCAAGAGCCGCCTTCCTGACTAACTGCTCTGAAAGCCCACACTCTCAACCGGCAGTGGTTACGGCCAATCAATTGCACAGACATGCTTAAAATTGTTCTGCTCATGCAAGGGCAACTTTTTAATTTTTTCCTAAAAAGCACAAAATGGATTCCAAGACAGAAGCCTGAAGCTCAGCAGTAGGAAGGACAAGTATTCACATGGACAGCTTCTTAAGAGTCTAAACACTTCAGGCTTTGTTTGACAGCCCTGAAATGGAAGATATGACTCAAGGGAGGCACTAGCTCCCAAATTTGGGTTAGAACTGTAATTTGCCTCCTTGACTAGGCCTGGCGATGAAAATCCTGGTTTCGAAGGTAAGCCTCCCCACTCTGTATGAGAGAGATTACAGCAACATGCCCTTCCTTGCTGGCTGCTCCTGTATCAAATACAAAAGCTGCCAACAAATTAGGCTGCCTTAATAGCATTACTGTCTTTTCACATGTTGGGCGTAAGAGACTGTCAGGATGCCAAGGTAAGCTGCAGCCAGAACTACGCTCTGCTTTGTAAAATGGATGGGAATCTTCTTAAGGACGTGCCTCTAAGCCTGAGATTTCCACGTCCACAAAGGCAGCGGCATTGCACAAGGAACAGCCCAGGGAACCAGTACGGCCCCGGAAGGGAAGGCACGAGTTCTCAGGCCCTGGCAGGCTCACGAGCTTCCCGCTTGGAAAGGCCTTCCAGCCACCTCTGAAGTTTTGTGAGCTAGCAGCTCCTAAGCCACTACCACTACCAGCCGGGCAGTTTTTCCTCTGAGCTCGGGAGTGCCATCGTCCCAGCAGACCCTGCCGCCTCCTGCAGAGATGCTGCAGCGCAGGAGAAGACCAGCCAGCCAGCAACCAGAACGGCACGTCCTGCCGCCAGCCTGGCGGGATCGGGAAGCCCTCCCTTTCCACACATCAGGCCTCATGGAGAGTGGGCAGCTGGAATGAAAGATCTCACCTCTAGAGAAGTGCAGACCAAATCCGTCTGCTTCCCCTCTCCAACTCAACTCATGCTTTCCCATCCGAGAGCTTCTTCTCCCCAGGCAGCAGGGGACACAGGATGAGCAAAAGCCTGACCCTTTCCCTCCCCCCTGCTTCCCTTCGCCCTTCCTCTGTCAGGACGGGGACACCTCACTGTGAGGATCCAAACCTCTAATTAATTTTATGGACTTGCCAGTGCTGCATCAGATCTGGGGAAATACATAGAATACAGTCTTTAAAACTTCTGAAGTCACCAAAAATGCAAAAAAATCAAATAAAAACAAACCCTTAAGGCACTGAAGCTTTGTTGAAGGCAAAACAATCACGTCTCATGTTTTCCCATGTGACAGATATTCTTCATATTTTGGTCTCCACACCCTGCATGCAGAGCCACCTTGCCCAGCTAAGTCCCTGCAGTCCCTTCTCCCTTCCAGCTCTCAAAGCCTTTCAGTACTAACCTATCCATGGGCGAGACGTGCCTTACCGCATCTTGTCACAAGACTTCAGCCATCCTTCACCACACAAGCTTCCCTCCACCACTTCAGCTCTTCCATCAAAGGAATGCGCACTTCATGCGGGCTGTGATGGCTGGGCACACCCTGCTTACCCAGCCTAGCTTTCACTGATAGGGTCTAAGAATGCCAAATGATTAAGCCTAGTTTTCACTGCTCTCAGTGTCCGCAGGGATCCACCCGTCCATCCTCCCACAGGCTTCTTTCGAACCCAAATGTTTGAAACAGGTTTGTAGAATGGCAAAGCTCAAGGGGGGTAGTTATCCATCTCTGAATTTCCTTGAACTGCTTAGCATCGGGATGACCTGGGAGCATGGCCACGCATAAGCCAGGCACAGCTAATTTACTGCTCAGGCTGCTGCTTCTTCCCACACCGGTATCAACCTCCTTCACTCTCCTGAAGGCTGCCTGGGGAAGCGGCACGGTAAATGACTGGGGAACTCGTTTAGATTAAAAGTTGTGTTTATTGTACCAGCAGAACCAGGGAGATGACCCAAGGGTGACCAAAAGTCGAGGTTGCCTAGAATAAGCAGTGGTGCCGAAAAGTGCTTGTCAAGCCACGTAATATTTAAGCCTGGCCCAAAACTTGGCCGTTTCACCTGGCAAAGACAAAAGCCTTATTGTGGGCTAAGCACATCTGTAAAGTCATCTGGAACCGGCAAACTCAGCACTGTTAGAAAGATTTCCAGCAAGAGACAAGCATTTGGCAAAGCAAAAAGGTGAGAATGTGTGCATAACAAAGCATAAAGCCAACCCAGCCCTTCCCCATCCCACCCAGTCTCAGAGCCTGCATTTCACCTCACCTACCATCAACGTTGTAGACTTTCAGGCCAGCCATGTGCTTGGCTGCACGGGATTTGGAGGCTGTTAACAAGGCTGGGTTGTAGACTGTGAAATCTTTGTAGTAATTTTCCAGAACCACCAGTGCAGCTCGCTGGATGCTAGGCAAAAAAAAGAAAAAAAAACACAAGACAAAACCCCCCAAAATGCAACAAGTTATTTTGTTTCCTTATAACAGAAAAAACAGAAGAAATAGCCACATCATTTGAAACAGGGTTGTGACGCCCACTGAATTGTGCAATGCACAGAATATTAATTACTCTCTCTCGGACCTGAAATTTCATTTGAGATGCCAGATAGAAGTCCCTGCCCTCACCTCAACAGGAGGATGACAGGAAATCCCTGCACAAGGGCAGCACGTCAACCGAAGCACTAAGCTGCCTGCAGTGTGGGAAAACACAGCAGAGGAGCTCAGCCGGCCTCAGCAGCGGGGCGGCTGCGGCGCAGAGACCCGGCCCAGGCTGCAGATCAGAGCACCGCGCTGGTTTTGCTGCAACTGGCCAGCCCAGATGCAGCGACCAGCTCAGGATGGATGCTTTCCCCTTTGAGTCATTTTCAGCCGCACCTTGCAGCTCCTCAGATCTCCTCCATCCCAGCGCTGACAGAAGCCCAACCTCTTCAGCTTTCACAGCAAGATAAGATCGCTGCCCGAGGAGTACGGCTGGCTGCCGGAGAAGGGATTACCAAAGTACTGCTTGTTAAATCCCAGGCAAGGGACAGAGTAAGGAGCAGCGATGCTCCCTCCCTCCCTTTGAAGGGATGCCTCTACATAAAGTGATGACACACGGGAGCAAAACAGCAAAACAGCACACGCGCCAGCAGCAGGAAAGGCTCAACCCAGAGGTATCTTCCTCTGCAATCATTTCGACAACGGAGAGATATGTCTGTAGGCACTGCTACTAACAAACAGGACAGTATTTCAAAACAAGCCAGAAGTATGGTGCTTAGAAAAAGCCAACACACACACAGGATCTAGGATGCAGCTCTCTCCGCCTGGCTCTGGCTCCACGCCCCAGCACGGCGTCTGGCTGGCAGTAGCGTTCTCTGCAAATCACCAAGATCACCGATTCAGCCAGCTGGAGTTTGCCAGGAACCCACGTTTAATTTCATTTTGAACCCACAAAAATTATAAAGGAACTGCCAACACATTTGTTGCCAGTTAATTGCAAAGTTCACACTTACCAACGTAGCCTCTCCTGAGGAAAGCAACCAAGCATTCTCACACATGTTACAACATAGGAAGAAAACATTACGAGGACGGTAGCGTGGGAAAATAAGACACGAACAAATTAAGACCTAAATTCAGCTCTCAGCAACTGAATCTCACCAACTCAACGTGTGCTCCCAGAGGAACAATTTAAATTTTCCTGTGCCTTGTGCTAATATTAAACTTCTGCATCGCAGCCCAGTAATTTAAACCGGCACACACCTTCTGCCATCCTCATTCTCCAGCTGCCCCCCTCCCACCGATCAGCGAATTAAGCATAGATGCCAGCCCATTCATGAGATTCTGAGAAAGAAGAACAAACACAGACTTGTCCACTGTGTATCTTCACCAGTCAGTATTATGGTACAGTGCCATATATTTCATTAGCTGTGTATCTTTAAGATGATGAATTTAGCTTTTGAAGCAAATTCCATCTTTAGGACTGTTTGATGGGGTCTTCTGCACCCAGCCAGAGTATCTTACAGAAGCCGTACTTTTCAGGTGCTGGTCGTACTTTTCAAGTGCCAGTCCTTCATATTTCCTCATATCAGGTTTGTTAAAAGCAACTCCACTTCAGCACTCGGCTACTGATATGGAATAAAAAGCCACTATTTAATCAAGGAAATAATCTTCCTTTAATGAAGTAGTACAGACTGACCCACTGCCACACACATGTAGGCACTGAGACAGAACAAGTGAAAGCCAGTTTATTTCTCCCTGCCAAACTTCTTTTATGAAATTCTGTTTTTAAGCTGCAGCAAAGTCACAGTAGAAATCAGAAGTCATCCAGCAGCAGCACGTATTCCCCTTTCTGACTGCATTCAAACATGACCAAATTTTTCCATGTCTGCTTCCCAGAAAGGTAAAACTCCACAGAGTTTCATCTCAAAATGCAACATTTGGAAAACTAGGATCAACTGAAAACAAGAGGATAAAAATGAACAGAGTTATACTCTGCCAATACACTGTGCTCATTTCAGGCAGCACTGGGACTTCAAACCCAGCAGTGGGAAGTGTTTGGGAGGTGCTCCATTGACCAGCTAGCTCTATTAGGACAAAGCACAATGCATCACAGGAGAGAATAATTTATTTTAATACCTACACATTTTCCCTGGACCCCACAGAGAATGTTATCACCAGGATGCCAGCTTTCCCCACCCACTACCCCTTCCACCCCCTCACTAAACAACCGACCCCACCAATTCATCGGCACACGCACCCAGACTCCAAACACAATAAAGCTTTTACGCTGCAATAAGCAACCATCGCTGCCCTGAAACTTGAAGTCCAGCTATTTTTTGCTGATGCAAATCCAGTACAGGCTCAGTTCTGCATATGAGATACCCCAACCACACAGAGGGTCTGCTCTTTCAGCAGAGAATTGCAATTAAATATCGGTTTCCTAAATTCTACCAGCCCATTTGTGTCTCCCATGCAGTCCATCCTAAGCACAGCAGGTTAGGAAGACAGCTGGAATGCAACTCTTCAAATTCTTTTTTAAAGAAAAAAACCCAACAAACCAGGATTAAAGAGAAGATGCTGCGGACAAGAAAATGAGAAGGGTCACAATGATTAGCAAGAGGGAGGACAAGGCTGAATCGGAGCCTTCTGGGCTGTGTTGCTCATCCTCTTCGCCCACATCAAGGGGAAGCCTCACCCTGCACAGCGCAGGGCAGCCGGCCCTGCCCCGCGCCGGAGCTGCAAAGCAACAAGGACCCCCCCGACCAGGCACAGCCACCTCAAGCCCAGCAGAAAGGGA